CTGCCTTGGTACAGACATCCTGTGAGCTGCTATCAGGAACAATTCCCTGAAAAAAGAAATGAATGTTGATCAAACAACATTGACCACGATCGGTCGGACAGTATGTGATATCTGATTGGTGCATATGGATTGTTTTTTTTTAACGATGTGCTGCGTTTCTCTGGCAGATCTACCAGCGGTTATCGGAGGACGCCAGCAACGGGGTGGAGGAGACCCAAGACAGATGCATCACTTTTCTGAGAAAGTTCAGGACGTACTTGTCAAAGATCTATAACGCCAATGCCGATGACATTGAGAAGGTAAGTTCCCCTTCTTGTAGCTCGAAACAAACTTAACTTTCAGGTTTATCAAAAGCAAAACTAGTGACACATTCTGCAGCTGCGTAACTTTTTTTTTTTTTTTCACATTTGTGTCCCAGCTGCCTGTTTCCATGGAGGAAGTTGTGGACCTTCTGAATGATGTGAACCAGCAGCTGGGGGAGAGTGGGGAGGCCATGGATGAGGAGGAAGAGAAGGAGGATGAGGTTCGAAGAGGGCCGGCCCACTCCAGCCCTGCTCATCTCACAGAAACCTCTGCTACCATATCCCACATAAAGTTTTCCACTCCCTCTCCGAACAAAAGCATCGTCTCTCCTTCCAAAAGACACCTGGTGAGTTCAGTTTATTGGTCCGCAGTCAGAAGATTTCTTTGTCATCTGTCTTTTTCCTTGTACTTATATATTCCTTTCCTCTTCTTCTGTTCAGATTTCTCCCAAGACACCACCTCACTGGGTGGAGGACCAGAAAAGTCTCCTCCAAATGCTGTGTCAGCAAGTTGAAGCCCTCAAGGTCAGGATTAAACGTCTTTCATTGAGTTAATTAATTTAATTCCACATAATTTCACGCTGGAATAAATTAGTAAGTAGAGAGCAGTGTTGAATTTATCATAACAAGAGGAAAATGTTGAGGAAGACTTAAGAAAACAATTAAATAAAGGCCTGTTTCTAATAATAGTTGAGGTAAATATCCCGGCAACTATTTGACAGTTTGCAGTAGCAACATAAGAGAGACTCTATATGATATTTTATATTTTACACATTCTGTAAAGACGTCAAATGGAGTCTCTTCTCATTAAGCTCCTTGTTTTGCAGAATGAGGTCCATGATCTGAGACACAACTCTTCAGGGAACGCTGGCTCCCCTCATCACAAAATGTATGGCGAGAGCTACGGGGCTGAGGGCCTACAGGAGCCTTTCACCCCGGTCCAGTCCTACCACGGGGCCCCCCTAACAGGTCAGCACACTACATACAACCAAAGCACGTCTAAATTCATAGTTCCACATTTGTGTCTACAACTATTGGTCAGAAACAGTTTATAAGAGTAACACAATCTTTATATGTTTCTATCTTGTTTTGAAGTTGCCACTACGGGCCCCTCTGTGTACTACAATCAGTCTCCAGCTTATAACTCTCAGTATCTCCTGCGTACAGCAGCAAATGTAACCCCGACCAAGGTAATTATCACTGTTGAACACTAATTCACAGAAATAAACTTTTTAAGAGTATACTAAATGACATGTGATTTGTTTTCTCTCTTCACAAAGGGCCCAATGTATGGTATGAACCGTATGCCCCCTCAGCAGCATATGTATGCCTACCAGCAGCCCACTCATACGCCTCCATTGCAAACACCTTCAGCCTGCATTTACCCTCCTCAAGAACAGGTGCCCTTTGGTGCTCCTCTTAGATTTGAATCACCAGCCACGAGCCTTCTTTCCCCATATAGTGAGGAATACTATGGCCAAAGTGTAACCCCACAAGCCCCTAACCCTCCCCTGCCTGAACCTGGATACTTTACCAAACCATCTGTGGTTCCCGTTCAGCCACCGAAGAGCATTGAGGGGAAGCCGATGGACTTTGGGAAGCTCTCCTTCAGCCAGCAGGCACCCGCTGAAGTCCCCAAAGTGCCTAGTTTTGGAGCAGCTGCAGTTGCTCAGTCAACGCCCTCAGCTGCTTTTAAATTCACCTCCAACTTCAAATCCAACGACGGAGATTTCACTTTCTCGGCTTCCCAGGCCAAGCACAGTGAAAGTCTGCTCGGTCTTCTCACGTCAGACATTCCCACTAAAACAGATACAACTCCAGAGAAGCATGCAGGACAGGAGCACCCCCCCAGCCAAACTGGTATCTTCACCTTTGGCAATAAAAATGTTACTGGCTTGTTTGGAAAAGTGGAGCAGCCATTTAAATTTGGGGATATCACCGCGATGGGTCCTAAGCCTGCATTAGAAGAGGAAAGAGCACCAGAGAGTGACAATGACAGCACTCATGTTGAGGAAGATGAGGATGGTCCTCACTTTGAACCCATTGTACCACTTCCTGATAAAGTAGATGTGAAAACAGGAGAAGAGGAGGAGGAGGAAATGTTTTGCAACAGGGCGAAGCTGTATCGATTTGACACAGAGACAAAAGAGTGGAAGGAGCGGGGCATTGGTAATGTTAAAATCCTAATGCACAGCACTAAAGGGAAGGTCCGCCTCTTGATGAGAAGGGAACAGGTCCTTAAGATCTGTGCAAACCACTACATCAATGCCGATATGCTGCTTAAACCGAATGCTGGCTCCGACAAATCCTGGGTCTGGAATGCCATTGACTATGCGGACGAAGAGCCCAAGCCCGAGCAGCTGGCAATCCGCTTCAAAACAGTAGACGAGGCTTCACTTTTCAAAGCAAAGTTTGAGGAAGCCCAGAAAATTGTGCTCAAATCACCAGAAAAGCGCGATCAACAGAAGAAAGACGAAACCCCAAAAGCTTCTGAATCACTGGCAGCCCAGTTTGCTCTTAAAGACGGGGAATGGGAGTGCGATGTATGCTGTGTAAGAAATAAACCCACGAATACGCGATGTGCCGCTTGTCAAACTGCCAATCCCAATTGTTCATCCAAGCCGGACGTTCCGGCTGCCGGTGAAACCAAAACCAGTCCCTTTACTTTCAAATTTGGGACTGATTCATCAAAACCCAGTAGTTCTGGCTCTCCGTTTTCTGGATTTGGTAATTTTGGAGCTTCTATACCTTCATCTTTTACATTCGGCACCTCAAAACCTGCTGACACAGCACCTAGTGCGTTTAACTCTGACTTTGTGGCTGGGTTTGGCAAGAAACCAGGACAGTGGGACTGTGACAGATGTTCTAAAAGAAATGAGGCCTCTGAAGACAGTTGTGTTTCTTGTAAAACTCTTAAACCATCACTTAAAACGCCTTCTACACCTGCTGTTGTCTCTGGGCTTGCCCAGTTTATTAAGAAGCCCGGGCAGTGGGACTGTGATGTATGTGAAGTAAGAAATGAAGCCTCTGCTGATAAATGTGTCTCCTGTGGAACCCCCAACCCTGCTGCTAAGTCAACAGTGGGGGCTCCGATAGCTTCAAATCTGCCAGCAGTTCCAGGATTTGTGGCTGATTTTGTAAAAAAGGATGAGATGTGGGACTGCAATGCCTGTCTAGTTAGAAATGATGCATCGGCTACTGAATGCGTTTCCTGCCACACCCCACATGACACTCCTTCTTTAGAAGCTAAGTTTGCCAAGAAGGATGGAGAATGGGATTGTGACACTTGTCTGGTGAGAAACAATTCCTCTGCCAGTAAGTGTTTGGCCTGTCAGACACCAAATCCAAATGCTCCAAGCACAACCAGCACTGCTCCCTCTGCCTCCACATTCAGCTTTTCCTTTGGAACCAAGAGTTCATCAAGCCAGCCTGCTGGAACTGGGTTTACAATGCCTTTTGAAAGTGGCAGCACTTTTCAGTTTGGACAAAGCAAAGATAAAGTCTCAGCTGCTTCTTTCAAGTTTGAAGTTCCCCAGTCTTCATCTAGTACCACAAGTTCTTCAGCGTTTTCTTTCTCAATGCCCATTCCAGCTGGTGGCTTCAAGTTTGGTGTTCAGGACCCTGCAAAAGAAACCCCCTCGACTGTTAATCCAACACCTGCGTCGGGGTCAGCCTCCAGTTTTCTTCAAAGCATAGCTCATAAACACAAGGAAAAAGAAAATGTGCCTACACCCTTAGTGGACCAAACAGAAGAAGAGGAAAATCCCTTAATTGCTGGTAAAACCAATACATTCAGCTTTGCAGACTTGGCACAGTCCTCTGAAGGAGAATTCCAGTTTGGCTGTGCCGACCCAAATTTCAAAGGTTTCTCTGGGGCTGGTAAACAGCTGTTTGCATCAATGCAGGCGACCCCCACCAAGACCGATGCCTCAAATGAGCTGGAAGACGACGACATGTATAAAACTGAGGAAAATGACGATATCCAGTTTGAACCAGTGGTCCAGATGCCTGATAAGGTGGACCTGGTGACGGGGGAGGAGGATGAACAGGTTCTTTATTCTCAGCGTGTCAAACTGTTCAGATTTGACTCCAACACCAGTCAGTGGAAAGAGCGTGGCGTAGGAGTCCTTAAGTTCCTGAAGAACGCCACTAATGGCCGACTAAGGGTACTGATGAGGAGGGAGCAAGTTCTGAAGGTGTGTGCCAACCACTGGATCACCACCACCATGAACCTGAAGCCCCTGGCAGGCTCAGACAAAGCATGGATTTGGTTGGCCAATGACTTCTCTGATGGAGATGCTAAACTTGAACAGTTGGCTGCAAAGTTTAAGAGCCCAGAACTTGCTGATGAGTTTAAGCAGAAATTTGAAGAGTGTCAAAGACTTCTCTTGGATATCCCGCTACAAACCCCCCACAAGCTTGTTGACACGGGCAGAACAGCGCACCTCATTCAGAAAGCAGAGGAAATGAAGTCTGGGTTGAAAGACCTGAAATTCTTTTTGACCGATGAGAAAACCAAGATCAAAGATGACGACAACCAGGGAGACGTGACAGCATCGAGCAACATTTCAGGCCTCGTGATCAAGCCTCACGGTGAAACCACCGGCCCCACCTTGGAGTGGGATAACTACGACCTAAGAGAAGAGGCTTTAGACGATACTGTCGACTCGTCAGTCTATGCCTCTCCCATCGCCAGCAGCCCCCTGAGAAAGAACCTCTTCCGCTTTGGAGAATCCACTGGTGGGTTCAGCTTCAGCTTCCAACCTGGCATCAGCCCCTCAAAGTCTCCGGCTAAGCTTAACCAGAGCAGAGCCTCGGTGGGTACCGATGACGAGCAGGATGTAACTCAGGACGAGGAGAGAGATGGCCAGTACTTTGAGCCTGTCGTCCCTTTGCCTGACCTGGTGGAGATTTCTACAGGAGAGGAGAACGAACTGGTGGTCTTCAGTCACAGGGCCAAGCTGTATCGATATGATAAGGAACTGGGTCAGTGGAAGGAAAGGGGTATCGGAGACCTCAAGATCTTGCAGAATTACGACTCCAAGCGAGTGAGGTTGATAATGAGGAGAGACCAGGTTCTTAAGATCTGTGCCAACCACTGGGTCACATCAGCCATGAAGCTGGAACCCATGAAGGGCGCAGAGAAGGCCTGGGTCTGGAGTGCCGTGGACTTTGCTGAAATAGGAGAGGGTAATATTGAGCAGCTTGCTGTGAGATTCAAGCTTCAGGAAACCGCCAACACATTCAAACAGGTCTTTGAGGAGGCGAAGGTTGCGCAAGAAACGAAAGAACTCATGACTCCGGTGACATCGAGAGTCGCCACACCTCAAGACAGCGGACCCACGGGATCTGCTCAGACTACTCCAACTGTGTGCGGGAAGGCAGCCATCGCTGTTCTAGAGGAGACCACAAAGGAACGTACAGAGCTTTCCCCCGAGAGTCAGACGTGTGCAGCCGGGTCTCCGAGTCCAGTCAACCCCTCCAAGATAGTGGTCTCACCCCCTAAGTTTGTCTTTGGCTCCGATAGCCTCCAGAGGTTCTTTGGCTCTCCTAAATCTGAGGAATCTGCATCCAGTTTGAAAGCCAAAGATTCTGGATATCCTGCCAGTACTTCACCTGCAGTACCTGCATTCAAAATCCCAGAGAAAGGTAAATTTTAATGCAATATTTGTCTGATATATATATATTTTGTTTTTCTGTTTTTGAATGAGTATCAGGACAGTTTTTTTTGTTAATTTGAGTTTTACTCCATTGTCTTGTTTCATCTGCATCTCATTGCTCCATCGTCTTAGTCGACCTAGCCAAGGCCCTTCTCAAAACATCTCCAGGACAGAAACTGTATTAAAACCACAGATTTCCCATCACCTCCCCATATAGCCACCTTATATCCTTGTTATATCATGTTGTTCCACTATATTACCATATCCTGTGCTAGTTAAACTGTATATATAAAGTACTTACAGTAGGTTTTAGTGAACACGCTGCACATGTTCTGCACACACTCTCACGGTATTTCACATTTTCCTTTGAAGACGTTTGGCCTTGTGTTCTGATAATGATACCAGCCTCACAATTAGTTTCTCTTCGCCCAACAACTCATCATCCTTTAGGGCTGGATTTTAGGCTTTTCAAAGATAACCCAATGGCTTTTTGGACCAGCACATCAACCACCCAATTTGAACCCCCAGGTACTCTAATCACTGCAGTGTGTTTTAACACTTCTCAGCTGTCACCTGGCTGGCCCTTACTACTAGAAAGAAATAACCTGGATGCACGGAGTGGAAAAAACATTGAAGCTAATGTGTTGCATGTCCAGTGTGTGGAGATGCAGTTTTTATTTGTACAAAGATTTTAATTATTACTTACCGATGACTCAGGATTCAAGTGTCTCACACAGCAGGACTGCACAGAATATGATCCTTTTTCTGTATCTGATTCGTCAGGATTAGGAGGGAAAGGGTGCGTAATGCAGTTAAATAATTGAGCAAAAGGCAAATCTTTAAAATAGGTTTAAAGTTGTTGTTTTAGAAATATAATAGATCTAGTTGGTCTGAGTTTCTCAAGTAGGTTTAGTTCAATGAACGAGGAGCCCTTTTGTTTTAGTTTACGGTCATTCAATATCATTTATCGCCTTTTCTTATAATTATCTCACAATAGAATTCAGTTTTTGTAATTTAATATAAAGTTTTTTTTTAAGATAGATCAAAGTTAGATCAGGATGCTAAAGTTGAAATATGAGGTAGTGGAATAACTAGTTCAAAAAAAAATATATGTGCTTATATCTCAGGATTTAATTTATTTCTGTGAAAAAAAAACTAAATGAAGTTGTTATTTTTGATGTTCAGATTATTATTTTAGATATAAACTTATAAGAAATCTGACAGGATG